CTCTCTGCTCCCTCTCCCTCTGCTCTCCCTCTGCTCTCTCTCTGCTCTCTCTGATCTCTCTGCTCTCCCTCTGCTCTCTCTCTGCTCTCTCTGATCTCTCTCCCTCTGCTCTCTCTCTGCTCCCTCTGCTCTCTCTCTGCTCTCTCTGCTCTCTCTCTGCTCTCTGCTCTCTCTGCTCCCTCTGCTCTCTCTCTGCTCGCTCTCTGCTCTCTCTGCTCTCTCTCTGCTCTCTCTCTGCTCTCTCTCTCTCTGCTCTGCTCTCTCTCTCTCTGCTCTCTCTCTCTCTCTCTGCTCGCTCTCTGCTCTCTCTGCTCTCTCTCCCTCTGCTCTCTCTCTGCTCTCTCTCTCTGCTCTCTCTGCTCTCTCTCTGCTCTCTCTCTCTCTGCTCTCTGCTCTCTCTCCCTCTGCTCTCTCTCTGGTCCCTCTCTGGTCCCTCTCTGGTCTCTCTCTGCTCTCTCTCTCTCTCTCTCTCTGCTCTCTCTGCTCTCTCTCTGCTCTCTCTCTGCTCTCTCTCTGCTCTCTCTCTGCTCCCTCTGCTCTCCCTCTGCTCTCTCTCTGCTCTCTCTCTGCTCTCCCTCTGCTCTCTCTCTGCTCTCTCTCTGCTCTCTCTCTGCTCCCTCTGCTCTCCCTCTGCTCTCTCTCTGCTCCCTCTGCTCTCCCTCTGCTCTCTCTCTGCTCCCTCTGCTCTCCCTCTGCTCTCTCTCTGCTCCCTCTGCTCTCCCTCTGCTCTCTCTCTGCTCTCTCTCTGCTCCCTCTGCTCTCCCTCTGCTCTCCCTCTGCTCTCTCTCTGCTCTCTCTGATCTCTCCCACTCAGTCATAATTCCAGGTGGTTAGAAAACTGTATAAAGTGTGTGAGGGTTTTACAGCCTTAAAACATTCAGCTGCTCCTTCAGTAAACGAGGAAGAACTGTATGTACTTTTTCAACATCTCAAAACCACACACACACACACAGACACGCAGACACACACACACACACACCAACACAAACACATAGACACACACACACACACCCACACACACCCACACGCGCACACACAAACACAGACACACACACACACAGACCAGACACACACACAGACACAGACACACACGCACACACACACACACACACACACACGAACACACCCACACGCACACACAAACACACACACACGCAGACACACACACGCACGCACGCACACGCACGCTTCAGCTTCCTGTTTTGAGGTCATTTTTCCCATTCCAAAGACATAATAGGTTTTGAATTGTTAATTAGCGTTGGCAGCGGTCCTCATATTTCATGATTCTGAATCGCAGACGAACAGAGATGGATCCAAACCGCTCACTTGGTTTCACATGTGTGTGCAGTCGTCCTGTCTCCAGAGGTTACCGAGGTGATGTGTTCTCCTGTGTGTGTGTGTGTGTGTGTGTTCTCCAGCTCCCACTCTCACTCTGGAGCCGGTGTCTCTCTCTGGGATCGTCTCCTGCTTTCTCACCGTCCTGTGCGGAGGCTTGAACCTGCTCCGAGGAGTCCACGCCATCGAGAGCATTCTGCAGGTGCACATTTATTTATTTAGCACAGTTCACACACAAGGGAACTCTTTCTCTTTCTCTAGTCTCTCTTTCTCTAGCCTCTCTGGTCGCTCTCTCTGGTCTCTTTCTCTGGTCTCTCTCTCTGCTCTCTCTCTGGTCTCTCTCTGGTCTCTCTCCGGTCGCTCTCTGGTCTCTCTCCGGTCTCTCTCTGGTCTCTCTCTCTGTTCTCTCTCTGCTTTCTCTCTGGTGTTTCTCTCTGGTCTCTCTCTGGTCTCTCTCTGGTCTCTCTCTCTGCTCTCTCTGCTCTCTGTCTTCACTCTCTCTCTGCTCTCTCTCTGCTCTCTCTGCTCTCTGTCTTCACTCTCTCTGCTCTCTTTGAATATAGTCAGAGAAGAAGCCTGTCTCACATTATCCGGAAGACTGTACCAGCTTCGAGCTTTACTGTATATTTTGTTTAGCAAATGCCACACAAACCGCTTTTTCTCTTCATAATTAATACATTACAACATACTTTTTCATGAATAAATTAAGATAAAGCTTTAGAGATCTTTAATTAGTCCCACAGCGGGGAAATGTCAGTGTTGCATCCCCAGTTACAGACAGTAGGACTGAGGAGCACGCAGCACAAGGTAAATGAATAATAACTTTATACTAAAACAAAATAAAATATCTAACTCTAGCATAAAAAGAAGCAGTATAAAATCTCTTTCTTTAGCCTAATGTGGAAAGAAGTCTAAAATCTCCAAACTAAAATCTAAATCTTCTCTCACTTCAGTCTAATTGTGGACTTTTGAATTTGCATTTCCTCTCAGCAGAAAATCACACTTTTCTAACAACTCGGATAATATATATATATATTTTTTTACTATTGTTGTGACTCGGTTGTTTTGACAGAAAAGCACCAAAAGTCTGAGGGTGCAATTACAGCCGGTGCCATGTCGCTGCTAATTGTGTTTTGTCTGCAGAACAACGGAGAGGACTTTAATTACGTCATTGCCTTCTTCCTGGGCACCGCGGCCTGCATCTACCAGGTCTGTCCTCTGTGTACAGGCTGACACCACATATTAGCTACACAAAACAGTTCTGCCGCCTGTGTAGCTCCGTGTAGATATCATTACCACCAAGAGCGTTAACAGAGAGGAAAGGCAAGGAAAGGGAAGGATCTGGAGGCAGCTGCACTCCAGAAGCTGCGGCTGCATCCAAATTCAACAAAAGTATCTCCTCAATGCTTCCTTGTTCGTTAGGATTTACCTTTAGTGAGTCCGGTTAGCGACAGAGTAATTGTATAGTGGATAATGGGTTAGCACTCTCGCTTCTCAGCAAGAAGGTTTTGCATCCTGGTTGGGACCGAGCTTTCCTGAGTTGAGTTTCCTCCGTGTGCTCCGGTTTCACCCACCACTAAAATCATCAATAGAGAATCCTCCAGCTCCGGTAACTCCTCTAGCTTTTTCCCAAGTGCAGCATCAACACGACTAATGTATAGCTACTGCTGTGTTGCTAATTTGCCAAACCGAGAGAGGGATCCACGCCCACAGACTGCAGATCCAAGACTGCAGATCCAGGACTCCAGGGAGACCGGTCCACAGGTTTAGATGAAAGAGGCCGAGTTCAGGGCTCCCATCGTCACGCCATGAAACAAACGGGACAGTGGGTGAATAGCAATGAACAGACTACAGCTGAAGTCATAACCAATTAAGAAGGAAAGAGGAGAGGATAGCGCTCAAGCACACAACACAAGATAAATGAAAACAATAGCTAGCGTTAGCATTGTAAGAAGCAAGCAATTATTGGAATTAGCTGATTGGTATTTCAATAACGGATGTAGCCGTGACTGTAACTCACTAACGGTGTGTTGTGCGTCCGTCTTCTGTGGTTGCAGTGTTGTCTGTTTGCGTACTTCTCGGTGTGGAGGAGCAGTAAGTCGCTCCTGGCCTTGGCCGTGGTGTGTGTGTGTAACCTCTACCTGCTGGAGCTGAGGAACCTGTGGCAGATCCTGTTCCACGTCGCTGTCGCCGCCTTCATGACGTTACAGATCAGACTGAGACAACCGGCCGGCAAGGCTCCGGACTACAACGTCTGACCACGGATTTTACACACATATACACACACAGACACACACAGACACACACAGAGACATAGATATATACACACACACGCACACACACACAGAGACACAGATGCACAGACACTGACACACACAGACACAAATAGACACTGACACACGCACACACACCTACAGACAGACACACACATACACAGACACACTAACACTGACACATATACGCATAGAGACTGATATACTGACTAACACACACACAAAGACACAGAAATAGAGACATACACACAGAGACACAGACACACACACACACAGAGACACAGATGCACAGACACTGACACACACAGACACACCTACACACAGACACACACACACACACCTACAGACAGACACACACACAGACTGACACACACATACACAGACACACTAACACTGACACATATACGCATAGAGACTGATATACTGACTAACACACACACAAAGACACAGAAATAGAGACATACACACAGAGACACAGACACACACACACAAAGACACAGAAATAGAGACATACACACAGAGACACAGACACACACACAGACATAGAGGCACAGACACTGACTCACACAGAGACTTGACACACACACACACACAGAAGAGACACACTAATGCAGATACACAGCAACACTGAAACAGACACATAAAGACTGATGCACAGACACACAGACACACACAGACACACACAGATCCAGACCAGACGCATCCCTGGATCAGGATGGGTGGACCTCACTGCAATAACACATGTTTTGAATAGACTTGATATGTATTTTTTAATTTTAGTTTTCCTCAGAGAAGCTTCTGTGTGACGTCGCGCCTGCACACGACACCTTTTTTGCGTTTGGTTTGTTTGCCGCTTTGCAAAACTCATCGCAAGTTTTCACAGAACGTTGATTTCAAGTCTACAGTGCCTCAAACTGTCCAAATAGTTGTAAATATAAATTAAAAATCCGCTTTTACTTCATCAAACAGCAGCTTTTGTTATGAATACTACTCTATAGAGGGAAGTCTGCTGCCCCTGCCACCCGGCCACGGATGAAGCGGAAGAAAATGGATGGATTTTCCTTTGACTTGTTGCTGACTCCACACAGACTTGTTGTAGCAAGGCAGCAATTGAACTATCAACCACTGATGTTTTGTGCTATTTATTTTTATACATTCTGTGACCATATCCTCACACCATGGATACTATAGCCCTGTTTCCACCAACCTTACTCTACTCTGCTCTGCTCTGCTCTACTTTACTTTACCCTACTCTACTCTGCTCTACCCTACTGTACTGTACTCTACTCTACTCTACCCTACTGTACTGTACTCTACTCTACCCTACCCTACTGTACTGTACTCTACTCTACCCTACTGTACTGTACTCTACTCTACTCTACTCTACTCTACTCTACTTTACCTAGTTGTGTTTCTATTATGCTTTAGTATATGGTACCGTATCCTAGCAACCCCCCCACAAGAAAACCAGTATCCGGGGAAATTCCTTGGTAGCCATGGCTTCCAGCAGCACTCTAGCCTATCAATGGCTGTGTCCAAAACGCTAGGCATCGGGCCGCGTAGGGTGGATATGTAGGCATCGTGACGTCACTTCCGCAAGCGACGGCTATTGCAGGGGTGTCCAAAACCACTTGGCGAGCTCGCCAAGCGTAGGCATCATGACTTCGTCTCTATGGAAACGGCCACTTTTGGAGCAGATATGAAGGATGCATCTGATGTATGCTTCGTTGCCTTCTTTTTGCCGAGTCACGGCCGCGCATGCGCAGAACTCCGTTCGGCATTAACATGTAAACAACAGCTCGGACCTGCTGGAGCTAACATTATGGTAAGCACTGCTATACTTTACTGTGAAGTTGTGTCTATAGTAAGTACTGCTATACTTTACTGTTGAGTTATGAACACGACTGTTATGATAAAACACAGACATAAGTTAGATCTGCCACAGATGTGTGTATTTAACCTTGTTATCTCCTGTAAATAAGCTCAGTCCCGAAAAGCTAATGCTAATGCTACGAGGCTAGTTCATTCAGATTCGGTTTTTGAACAAGAAAAATCATGTTGTGTTTTATCTTTTAGGGAGAAACAAACCCACTGATTAAATATTAAAGCTACACTGAGGAAATAGTCACGTTTTCATGGAAAATCACTCTGCAGCACAGCAGCTATAGTATGCTAACACATGTTTTCTGTATTCATATAAAATAGATTGTGCATATCGTTTTTAATCCCATACTGAGACTGGGAAAACTGTATATATTAGACATATGAAATTATAGAATAGGCCAAGAATAATTATAAAGCCCTTTTCATACAATAGTCTAATAAATAGTAAACACACATTATACAGAGGTTTCGTTTGTCATGAATAAGACATTTGCAGAGGACAAAGTCCCACTTCCACAAACACAGGTTTAAAGTGGTTAGCCATGCTTCTAACTTGATTATTTGTGTATATTTCTATCATATCATTCTTCTGTTTCCCCTGCTGTGAAGCTTGTACCTCTAATATTAAATACTGTAAGGATTTCTGTATTTTATTTTTAACCAGTTTTTTGCAAAGCCCCAAATAAATAGTATTAATTGAATATGAAGTGTAAAAAGAATCCTAAATGTGGGCTGTGTTTTAATGCATGATGTTTGTGTTCTTCTTTTTCAGAGACTTGTGGTGAAATTAAGGTCATAATTTCTCCAGCTTCACCTCCATCACCTCCTGCTTCACCTCCATGCTGCTTCACCTCCATCAAAACCTCCATCACCTCCTGCTTCACCTCCATCACCTCCTGCTTCACTGCTGAAAACATTATGAACTACAACGTTTTCTACGAGCCATGGAAGCCGAGGTTCTCCTCCCCCAGAAGGAGCGCTCTTGGGCGGATGGCAGACGCACGGTCCCCCGGTGGTTTCCAAGGGCCATAACTTTCTGGTCCTTGGTCCCCCGCGCGTCAAATTCACACTGCGGGTACCCCGGGACCAGGGGAGTCCCTGGGTCCCACCCCCGTGTCTGTAGCCCCCCTGGCTCGGCTTTGAGGAGCCCGGAAAGCGGGGCTTTCTTCCCCCGGGAATGAGCGCCCAGGCCCGGATCTGAGCGGGAGCAAAGCCCGCCCCGGTGGTAGCCCAGGTCCGGAGGAGTGCGTGGGTGAAAACCCCGTGTCTCTAGCCCTTATGGTTCGTTTTCTACGAGCCCTGGAAGCCGAGGTTATCCTCCCCCAGAATGAGCGCTCTTGGGCGGGTGGCAGACGCGCGGTCCCCCGGTGGTTTCCAAGGGCCATAACTTTCTGGTCCTTTGTCCCCCGCGCGTCAAATTCACAGGGGTCGTAGCCCAGGCCGAGACGAGTCCCTGGGTCCAAACCCCGTGCCTCTAAGCCTTCTGGTTCTATTTTAATGATAATTAATTCTCTCCCTCCTTTGGCTGTTTCTGAGCAGGGGTTAAACTGGAGATTTTCACCATATATGCAGAAATTACCCAGATTCATCTAACGCTGGTCTCAGCTCTCACTCCGCCTCTGGTCTCCCTCTGGTCCTGAAATTCACACCGGTTGTAGCCCAGCACAAGACAAGTCTGTGGGTCCAATCCCCAAGTCTCTGGCCCTTCTGCTTGATTTTTAAGGATTTTTTTTTAACATTCTAGAGCTCCAGACGCTTTTTGGGGGGCTTTTATCACAGGGTCACAGGTCTAACTTTTTTGTCTTTAAACCCCCATGCATGAAATTCACAAATGTTGTAGCACAGGACCAGACGAGTCTGTGGGTCCAATCCCCACGTCTCTAAGCCTTCTGCTTGATTTTTAATGTTTTTTTTAAAAAACATTCTAGAGCTCCAGACGCTTTTTGGGGGGCTTTTATCACAGGGTCTAACAGGTCTAACTTTTTTGTCTTTAAACCCCCATGCATGAAATTCACAAATGTTGTAGCACAGGACCAGACGAGTCCGTGGGTCCAAACCCCGTGCCTCTAAGCCTTCTGGTTCTATTTTAATGATAATTAATTCTCTCCCTCCTTTGGCTGTTTCTGAGCAGGGGTTAAACTGGAGATTTTCACCATATATGCAGAAATTACCCAGATTCATCTAACGCTGGTCTCAGCTCTCACTCCGCCTCTGGTCTCCCTCTGGTCCTGAAATTCACACCGGTTGTAGCCCAGCACAAGACAAGTCTGTGGGTCCAATCCCCAAGTCTCTGGCCCTTCTGCTTGATTTTTAAGGATTTTTTTTTAACATTCTAGAGCTCCAGACGCTTTTTGGGGGGCTTTTATCACAGGGTCACAGGTCTAACTTTTTTGTCTTTAAACCCCCATGCATGAAATTCACAAATGTTGTAGCACAGGACCAGACGAGTCTGTGGGTCCAATCCCCACGTCTCTAAGCCTTCTGCTTGATTTTTAATGTTTTTTTTAAAAAACATTCTAGAGCTCCAGACGCTTTTTGGGGGGCTTTTATCACAGGGTCACCGGTCTAACTTTTTTGTCTTTAATCCCACATGCATGAAATTCATAAATGTTGTAGCACAGGACCAGACGAGTCCGTGGGTCCAAACCCCGTGCCTCTAAGCCTTCTGGTTCTATTTTAATGATAATTAATTCTCTCCCTCCTTTGGCTGTTTCTGAGCAGGGGTTAAACTGGAGATTTTCACCATATATGCAGAAATTACCCAGATTCATCTAACGCTGGTCTCAGCTCTCACTCCGCCTCTGGTCTCCCTCTGGTCCTGAAATTCACACCGGTTGTAGCCCAGCACAAGACAAGTCTGTGGGTCCAATCCCCAAGTCTCTGGCCCTTCTGCTTGATTTTTAAGGATTTTTTTTTAACATTCTAGAGCTCCAGACGCTTTTTGGGGGGCTTTTATCACAGGGTCTAACAGGTCTAACTTTTTTGTCTTTAAACCCCCATGCATGAAATTCACAAATGTTGTAGCACAGGACCAGACGAGTCCGTGGGTCCAAACCCCGTGCCTCTAAGCCTTCTGGTTCTATTTTAATGATAATTAATTC